GTGTGTATGTGTGTGTGTGTGTATGTGTGTGTGTGTGTATGTGTGTGTGTGTGCGCGTGCGGGCGTGCGTGCTCACGCGCGTGTGTGCGTGTGTGTGTGTGTGTGTGTGTGTGTGTGTGTGTGTATGTGTGTGTGTGTGCGCGCGCGCATGTGCGTGCTCACGCGCGTGTGCGTGTTCGCGCGCGTGTGCGTGTGTGTGCATGTGCGTGTTCGCGCGCGTGTGTACGCTGCTCGTGCTAGTACTAGTCTATCGATACATATCGTAGCTTGTGACAGATCGTTGACTGCACTCGGCATCGACTGTGGGCTTCGAATCTCGGCCATTCCGTATGAGCTAGGGTAGCGCATATAGATGTCTAAGGTATCTTATATTATAGACGTCTAAGATATCTTATAGACGTTTTATATATCTTATAGACGTGTAAGATATCTTATAGGCCTATTGTAGACGTCTAAAAATATTGTCGTCATCGGTGTGCCGTGTTCGCGTGGCCGTCCGGTGGCGGCAAGGGTATAAATATAAAATCCGGTGTATTTTTGTAGGTGCAGAGTTTTCCACAGTTGTGCTGTTAAGGTCGTATAGGGCATTCTATCGAAGCCTTCGTGATTGTTGCGATGGCGATTTACATTAGGGCAGAGCTTGTAAACGTCTAGTGTAAGACGAAACGCAAATATTTCACGCAAATATTTTTTTTTTTTACCCCGTGTTGACCACTGGGCATATCGTTGTCGTCATTCCAGGGTTTGTTTCTTTGATCGTGATACATCGCCGTTGAGATCGGTTTAGGAAAGTGATGGTCAAACTGGTACGATCTACTGCTAATACAGTAGCCGCGTGAAACGTGTGATTTAACATCGCATAGGATAGATTCCGGGGAGGAACTATGCCCCCGTTGTTTATTTTGACGTTTAGAGGCTCTGACTGAGTATGAATCGTGATCTTCCTGATTAAGCATGTAATTCGGTGTTGTTGCGATAAAGTCAACGTTATTATTGGATATGAAAATTTGAAAATAAACAAAATATGGTGTATAGGAAAACGAAATGTGTAATGATATTGACGTTATGGTGAAGCCACGTGTTGATTCGTAGATGAGGCCGAGCATAAAGGACAGCCAGGCTTCATCATCATAATTATCAGCGCCATCGTCATCATCATCATCATCATCATCATCATCATCATCATCAACGTCATCGTCGTCATCGTCGTCATCGTCGTCATTGTCATCAGTGTTGTCGACAACATCGTATTCACAGCATACTATGGCACAGCATTTGCTATAATTATACTGTCGTCGACCGGGCGTTTGTATACGGCTATGGCGTACCGTTACAGCGTAGCTTGCCCGCTCTGCTGCATGACCTCCCACGCAATGATTTCGTTACGGAACAAATTCAGCTTGGCACTATATCTGAAACCGTTCAGTATACCCTTAACATCATATTCGCCAATTTGGGTGCTTTTACAACAAAAGCCACGATTCCTTCACATATCTGCCCCACTATGTGTGGTCACGCAACGATTTCCTACCCACATCTCGATCTGCTCTTCGCGATATAATAGTGCCACTGCGGCTCGTATTTTCTTAGCCCCGGCCATGACTCACATTAATGCGGTGACTTTCCATCATTAGCCACCGAGGAGTGGCCATTACGGGTCGTTTCTACGGTATGCCTACTTTCCCGACCGCCGCGGCCAATTTAGAATGGTAATAGAATATCGCTCAGCATCGAATTCGATTCCGGGTCACCCGATGGACGCGTATTCGCGCAGACGACTTTCTCATCCGGATTCGGATAATTTTTCTTCGTTAAATCCGCTTTTTTCTTTCGACCGATGCCTGCGACCGCCGTGCTAGAGAAAAGGTTGTCGCGGCAAAACGCAAAACTTCCGCGCATGCATTCTTCCGTGCATTCATACGCGCATGCATTCTTCCGTGCATTCATACGCGCATGCAATCTTCCGTGCATTCATACGCGCATGCAATCTTCCGTGCATTCATACGTGCATGCAATCTTCCGTGCATTCATACGCGCATGCAATCTTCCGTGCATTCATACGTGCATGCAATCTTCCGTGCATTCATACGTGCATGCAATCTTCCGTGCATTCATACGTGCATGCAATCTTCCGTGCATTCATACGTGCATGCAATCTTCCGTGCATT